GAAAAGAAAAGAAAAGAAAAGAAAAGAAAAGAAAAGAAAAGAAAAGAGGTATGGAGATGTAATGGTTTGATGTGGGGTGCCCTTCTGTATATGTGTTGTTTTTATTGGTTGTTGAATAAAGCTGTTTGGGTCAATGGCTTAGCAGAGTAAAATCAGGTGAGAAATCAGAACAGAGATGGAGAGAAAGTAGAGTCAGGGAAAGACTTAGTAGCTGCTGAAGGAGGTAGACACCATGTAGTTGCCCAAGACGCAAGAGGTAACAAACCATGAGCCTCATGGTAAAATACAAAATTATAGAAATGGATGAATTTGAGATAGAAGAGCTAGCTAGAAATATGCCTGAGCTGTTGGCCAAACAGTGTTATAATTAGTATAGTTTCTGTGTGATTATTAGGGTCTGGGTGGACGGAAAATGGAAAAGCAATTTCCGCTAACAATGGTTCAGTCAGAAAATGCCCTGTTACCCGGGCATAAGGACCTGAGGTTGGGTTGATGGGATGTAATGTATAGGAAGAATAAATTCAAAAATAAAATAAAGGTAGACAGCAACTGAATAAAGATATAACGTTGACCTCTGGCCTCTACATGCATTCATGCACAGGTGCACACACACACACACACACACACACACACACATACACACATGCACACCAGGGAGCTATCCATAATGCAGTGACATTTGGAATATAGAAAACAATTCTCAACTGGGCAATGGTGGCACATGCCTTTAATTCCAGCACTTGGGAGGCAGAGGCAGGCAGATCTCTGTGAGTTCAAGGCCAGCCTGGTCTGCAAATTCCAGGCTCCAAAGTAACACAGAGAAACCCTGTCTTGAAAAACCAAAAAAAAAGAACAAAGAAAAGAAAAAAAGAAAGGGAAAAAAGAAAAAGAAAAAGGAAGGGAGGAAGAAAAAACAAATAAAGAGAAAGAAAACAATTCTCTTTTGAAGCATGATTAATAAAAGCTCAGAGACAGATATTGGGGTTCAAACTTGAAGACAAGAAAAGCAAACAGCCAGCCACTGACTCTTACCTCGACCTCGGTCCGAAAATGGCGATCCTGCCTCCAGGAAACCTCAGAATGAGGTTGAGACTGAGAACTGTCTCCTCCCATTTTATAATCCTCTCTAGTTCTGGGATTACGGACGTTCCTCACTACCGCCTGGTTTCTTTGGCAAACTAGTGTGGCTTCTGGGATTAAAGGTGTGTGCCATCGCGGCCTGATCTATAAGGCTGGCCAGTGGGGCTGTTTTACTTTTCTAATCTTCGGGCAAGCTTTATTTATTAAAATACAAATGAGCGCCTCTACAGTTTCCTAACTCTTAATTTCCATTAAAACTGCATTGTCACACTGTGTTACTCTGGTTTGCAACCTTTTTCTTTTTTAAACACAGTCACCCTAACATAACCTGAATAAGGACAACACCCATAGACACGCTAACACGGATAGGGACCGCTCAGGAGACCTCAGCCCTACACAGAGAACTACAGGCAGCTAAAGAACACTGGTAATAAGAGAAATAGTCTTCCCCAGGGAAAAACTCAACAATTGGTTATCCAATACAAATGGTCAACCCTGAAATTGTGTGTGTGTGTGAACACGTGTGTGTGTGTGTGTATGTGTAGCATTATACATACTAAGTGGGTTGTATTTATGTGTTTAGGAATGTATAATGGAAATATATAGAGAGAGAGAGCTATAAATAGAACACATATATAAGTATATGTAAGTATATATATATACTTACATATATACACACACACACACACACAAAGAAAAAGAACAGAGGTATTTAAGTGAGAACAAGAGGGTACACAGGAGAGTTTGGAGGAATTAAAGAAAGGTGGAATATGATATAATTATTGAAATATATATGTATATATATACATATATTCCAAAAACTAAGCAGAATGATTATTAGAATAGAAAGTATCAATGAGTGCTACACATAAGAATTTCAAGGAATGTCTGGACACTGGGGCAGGGATCACAATGTTATTTTCCCCAGAGATTCAAAGTCAATAAACACGCTGGTTTTTCCCATGTGCCCCTAACCCTTATGTGACTGCTATCATTGCTCTGAAAGACAGCATTGAGTCGTGATGATGTAGTGTGATGATTCTTTCTGGGCTATTTGCAATGGAAGCCTTTGTGCAAACGTGCACAAAAATTCAATATCTTAATATTTTCTCGTAGCTAAATCTTCCTTAACCTATCTCAGTGTGGGCTCCCTCTAAAGTACAATCCCTGTATTTCTCTGCTGCTGAGTTCAGAGCCTGCTTTTCTGTTAAGCAGGAGGGAGGGGCAGGAAATGGTACTGAGATTTGCTACTCTCAAAACCAATCATTTGAAATGTTTGACAAACAATAGAAATACCTTTTTAAAATAAAATGCTTAATTTCTTTCTCCTTTCGTCTTTCTCTCTCAGCTGCCTGTCTTGTGCTCGGCTGTATGATTTTCCCCGATGGCTGGGATTCAGATGAAGTAAAACGGATGTGTGGGGAAAAGACAGACAAGTACACTCTTGGCGCCTGCTCCGTCCGCTGGGCGTACATCCTGGCTATCATTGGAATACTGGATGCCCTGATCCTCTCATTTCTCGCATTTGTGCTCGGAAACCGACAAGACAGCTTAATGGCAGAGGAACTGAAGGCAGAAAACAAAGGTAAGATTACTTAAGGGACTCGCAGTGGATACCTCAACCACAAAACGTAATCCCAAACAGCATGTCTCTCGCTCCTGCCCACCAAGTCCCTTTCCCTGCAGCTCCCATTGGCCTTTAACACTCAGGATTCTAGACTTCACAGACTCAAGATGTCTACAAGACTGAAGTATAACACTGCATCTTCTTATCCCTCTGAGGCACTCTCTAAGTCCATTGTGACTGTTTAGGTATTTCTCCAGTTTCTTCTTCCCTCTTTTTCTAACACATTAGCCATCGAGAGTAAATGACTAAGAAGCAGCATTGGGGAAGGGGTATCTATTTGATTGGTTGGAATGTGCTTCCTCTCTATGGACACAGCTATTTTCCCAGACTGAAATGAAAACCAAAGAAATCTCTCACAACCATCACAATCACTGGATTTGAATTCAAACTCATCCTGTCAGAGAGGGAGAGAGACAGACAGACAGACAGAAACAGAGACAGAGATTTACACCACCAAGTAGTTACAGAGATTATGGTAGCACCCCAGTTGGCTGGACTTTTCAGTGTATTATCTGGGTAACCAACAGCTCAGATTGCAATACAAGGAAAATGAGAGAAAGAACAGGATGTTGGCTGGTGTTTTAATGTATTGGAGTTAGTATGTCATTATTCAAGGCGAATCTTGGAATTTCTCTTCCACACTGCTAGACCTGTTCTTTTGGGTAGTACTTTAATGACAAGAATTTGTTATAGTCTTAGATTCGTTTGATGTGTTTAACCTCTATGAGGTTGGGGGTTCCTTTTGTTGGTGGTTGGTTGATTTTTGAGATAAGGTCCTGCTCTGTAGCCTAGGCTGACCTCACACCCCTGGTCTTCCTTTCCCGATACAGTCTCCTCAGTCCCCAGACAGAGCCATGTGCCACCATGCCTGACTTTGCTTACTATCTTTAATCTTCAAGTTTTGTAGTTACATTATCACCTTCAGGTGGGTGGCTCCTTCTAGCTTTTTGTCCCTAACAAGAAGCTAAATCCATCCTTAAATTATAAAATTTCGATACTACTTCAAGTAGGTGTTAATTTGAAGCATCCTTCACTATTTTTGACAAGGTCTCTAATGTAAGCATATATTATCCGGTACATGAACATCTCAGGTAATGGCCACACAGCGAGCTTCACAGGCAACCATCACCGCCCATGCTTGTAAAGTAGGAACATGAAAAAGCAAATGGAGTCATGAAGAATGCAGCAGACACCCAGGAACGCTCACTCCCTGGCTCGTAGGCACAGCGTGCACTATTTACTTAATCCTATCAAGAACACTTAAGCACAAAAATAACTTCCACAGGAAATGCTTTTAAAACTTCCCCAAAACAAAACTACCAGGTTTGGAGAGATGGCTCAGCAGTTAAGAGCACTGGCTGCTCTCCCAGAAGACCCAGGTTCAATTCCCAGCACCCGCATGGCAGCTCACGACTGTCTGTAGCTCCAGTTCCAGGGAATCTGATACCTTCACACAGAGTATACACAGGCAAAACACCAATGCACATTAAATAAAGAAATCTTTAAAAAAAAAACTTTCCCTCAAAGTTATCCCTTCTAGATTTCAGAAATATTCAATATGAAGATAATTTTATTTATACTACAGATTTAGTCTTTTCTGTGCATTCATTAGTCACTTTTATAAACTTAATTATTTTAAAAAAAAACCCTTGCAAATAATTAAAAATATCACATACCAAAGTTAACCAGACCCAAAGTCTACACAACATAATAAACTCATACACAGTTAGAATTAGCACTCTAAATGGAAATTGTGATGTTTCACATTAGATTTAACACATTCAGTTTTGAATATATCTTATGTGTTTACTCAGCACCAAAAACCAAAAAAAAAAAATCCATGATTAAAATTAAAACTAGAAAAAATAAGTTTATATTCTCTTTCATAAGTTTCATCCGCTATCTGTATTTGGGTCTTTCTCATCTCCTAATGGTCAAACTTCTCCCTTTTCTTCCCATCATGCTGTGCTCACATTGGTTTTACATGTGCAAACATACTAGTCATGCACTCACTGTGTGGTGCTCTTGTCTGTCTCTGTGGTTTGTCAGATAGACTCGGTTTTGTCTTCTTTGCTTCACATTTAGTGGTAAGGATAGCTCAGATCTGCCAAATTACCTTTCTGGGAGGAGTGAGTTATGGCTACTTTGTTCTGCAGACACTTGAATTCCTCCAGCCTCTAGTAATGGGCCAGAATGCTATGTGTTCCTTTAATGTTCAAAGTTACACTGAAAACTTTTGACTTCTCAGATCTTCTTTGACCACAATACAAGAGAATTCAGAAAAAATATAGTTAAAGTCGGCAGCCATTCATAGATCACAGATCAGAGAGATTCACAGAAGTGCCGAAAGCATCAAACCGTATGATGGAACATTTCAATTTCTCAATCCAAAGTCCTTAATGTCTGACTCTGGGAAGATAATCAAAGCTTTGCTATACACTGTATTCCTATAAATCAGGTCAAGATTTCTCAGCTTTGTGTAAAATTTAACCAAACCTACATGTTTCTGAGACATGATACAAGGTTTGCTGTTCCTGTATAACCTTTGTTGTTTGTTATTATTTAATAATTTGTTCAAAGTTCAAACTGGGACTAGCCAATGATTCTATCATTAGATATGCATGTGCCTAATTTACAATCATGAATGGACATACTTACAATTGCACAGATATATCAATATCACTGTTGACTAGTTAAGATATTTTCTAGTATTAGTTGCTACTGATAAAAACACCAAAATGTCTGTTGAAGGAATAAATCTTTGTTTTGGTTCCATGGTAATACATTGAATTGGTGACAAACATAGTCCTGGCTCAGAATTTTAGAAGAATGTATATACCCCAAGATGATTTAGAAAAATGTATATACCCCAGGATGATTTTTGGTTCTAAGGAGCCAGGCAGTGCTATATGTGAAGCCATGACTCAAAAGAGTAAAATATTTATATATTTTATATCAATATCACTACACATTGTAACGTCTTCTATAGTCTCTCAGTGTTATAGTCCACCAGCCATACCAATACGCATCTTATAGGCAACAGATGCATAACAAGGAACAAGATACGCCCAGGACATGAGATAGGCCACTAAGGACCTTGTCTTCTTTGGGGCTGCTGTAATTCACTCTGCAACCCATCCCCTGCAGTATGTGGAAAAGTCACCAGATAGATCCCAGTTCTTTGTGTATCATTATAGCAAGGATATTGCTTAGATTCATAAATCCTTAGCAGCTACCCTAACAGGGTAAGACAAATCACTGCTACATCAGGCACAGAATCAATCAGAAAAAAAGAACTTCGTTCTAATTGCCGACCATATTCCACTTGTAGGACATTAAGATACAAGGAAATAAAAGACGCTACTGAATCATAAATTAATCACCACAAAGACATTATTCCATGAGAAAACAAGGAAGGGGCAGGTAACTAGAAGTCCCCACCTCAGTCAGCCACAGACATCTCCCAAGACACATCTCCACTGTCCTTGCCCCAGGCCCACTTCAACATATCCTCCAGTATTTCTTGAGGCCCTCCTTTTCCAGGGGCAGCACAAAGATTGAAAAATACCTCAAATGGAACAGATTGGAAATTGTGGAATGGTAAAAAATGAAAGCAAAAGTGTTTTCCCCTACCTTTAACCAAACTACAGCAGCTGCATTGCTCTGTCTCTGCCTTTAGACTGAGATCAGGCAGTGTCTGATTTACAGAAAATCACAGCTTGAAAGATCCATGTGTTCTAACAGCTTTGGAGCTCAGTGGAAGTGACGGAGTAATTTTTAATGGAAAAAAAAAGGTTCCACTGAAAAACAAAGAGAAATAAAAATAGTTAAATCCAGTTAACCTTATACCAGATTTGGCCTACTAGCAGGGAAAAAAACCAACAAACCACCAACCTCTCCTCCTGCTCTGACCAGGAGATACAGCCCTGCAGGCTGTGTGTTCCCTGCACAGTGATGACAGCACTAGGCAGGTGTTCCTTCTTGTTTGCCAGTGCAGCAACGTGATTTCTAAATGAGCCAACCGCGGTCGACATTTAACCTTGATATGCTGTTTAATTGCATATTTTAACACACTGAACTGTGAAGTCAATTTAATTATGTAAAATTAAAGTTTCACCCACATAAAAAGGATTCTAAGTGAAAGCTTCAATTTCAATTTCTTTCATTAGCTATGAAAGGATAAATAATTATATTTTCCAGAGCTATTATGCCACAAATACCTCTTTCCTTGTCAGACATCGTTTATGAAGAGGTCTGTTTGTACATGTGGTGTGTGTGTGTGTGTGTGTGTGTGTGTGTGTGTGTGCGTAAAATCCCTTCTCAGATGATCGAGTCCTCTCTTAGACAGCCTTGAAGTCACTTTGTCGTTCAGTACTTAAACTGCAGATAAGAAAACTTGATCTAGAGGTGACTCAAGCTATCATTTATTTATTAAGTGATTTAAGCCCTTTTTAACGCTATAATAGGGAAGGGAGAATATAGCCTGCTTACTTAATTGAGTAGTCCTTTGGAATTTTGATATTAGATGTTCTATTATGCCATGACCACACTATGACTGACAATGTGGTATAGTGTAGTAAAAAAAGGGTCTGTATGAGGCTTCAAGCCGCCCAGCAGTGGTACTTTTCCCTGACACTAGCTGAGACCAACACCTTAACCCTCCTAGTCCATAAAATGCAGGGTTTATACAAACAGTATCTGCGGTTCTTCCCAGGACTCAGAGATCTGGGTGGTAAAAGCTCCTGCCCTTACAGCCATGAACACTGTAGATACTTTCTGGAACTTGTTGGGAAGCAGGAGTAGGTCTAGGAAAAGGAAAACTCAAGAGGTCAAGGGATGAGGTTCTGAAGTACCTTGAGTCTTCTTGTCTCACGTGCGGTCCCAGCAACCTACTCATCACTCTCCTCCTCCTTCATAACCATAAGAGCAGAATGAGTCAGAGATAACAGGTTGGGGCA